CAGCAGCTTCTTCTCCCCACCCGCCAGCTCGACCTGGATCTCCTCAAGGCTCTGCCAATCATCTGCTTCACATACTCCTCGCATAGCGTGCGTCGCCCCCGAGTCCAGCAACCCGTACTCCGGCAGGTAGTCAATCTTTGACACCTTCACAAACCTCAAGGCTCTCAACCTCTTCATCTGGTCCAGCTGCTTCTGCAAGTCGTTGAGCCTCACATCTCTGTCACGCCCCGTCGAAGTAGCCGCCTTGATGTTGAGGGATCCAAGCATCTTCCCGGCCTCTTCCAGCACCGATGCCCGTCTCCTTCCTTGGAGTCCTTGGCGTTCTTCGCGTTCCCCTTCGCCGTTGACGATGCCGCCCCCGAGGATTCGGTTTGATCTTCTCCTCGGTGACCACTCTCTTCATCATCCATCTCCGTTACCTTAGCAATCTTGCTGGGTGATTTCTCGGCCCGGTTGCCACCCTCCTTGTCCTGCTGCTTCCTCGGGCAGTCCTTGCGGTAGTGATCCACCGCTCCACACTCGTAGCACCGGTTCTTCTCGTCTCTGGCCTCGTGGCTAAACGTACATTGCCACCCTCTCCGACATCCAGCATCCGTGAGGTAGTACCGGCAGGGCTTCTTTTCTCGCACGTCCCCTTCTTTCTTAGGAGACCGCCCTTCCCAGCCTTTTCCACCTCCGCCTCCATACGCTGTTCCGGCTCCCTCGACTTTCTTGATCTTTCCGTCATAGTCCGGGGCCTTGATCATCTTCTTCTCGGTGTGCACCAGCTGCTCAAGCTCCGACAAGAGGTGCTCACAGTAGGTGCTGATCGTGCCGTAGTTGGGCACGGTGTCCACCTGTAGGGTCCATCTGGCCAGGCTGATCTTGAAGCTCAGGTCTTTGTTGCCCTCCAGCACCTTCTTGGTGAGCCTGTGCAATCCTCTGCTCAGGACCGAAGGGTCTGGCAAGGAAACCCCGATTTCTTCCGCTCTTCGCTTCCACCTCAGCCACCTCCTGATCCCCTGAATCGCCGCCTGAATGGTCGTCGCCTCCTGCGGCTGCTCCAAGTTCTTGAGGATCGACAACCTCTCTGCCACTCCTGGCTGGTACAGCAGCGTCAATCTGCACACCAAGGAGAACACATCCAAGCTCTTGGTCGCGATCAGCTCCTCCTTGACCTGGTCTGGCAGGGCCTTCATGAGCAACGTCACCGCGCGGCGCTCCACCCTTCTCCATTTCCAATTGCTCACCTCCATGGGGGCTGTCGGAGTCAACAACAGCCGTTGTAGTGGGGGCTCCGTCATGTACTTGTCGTACCAGCTCTTCGTGTGCTTGAGCATCAGCTCCCACCACTCCTGACTGGTGTCAGAGAGATCCGCCATCACCGGGCCCACCATAGTGAGCCAGTCCTGAAGGTCGATCGGACCAGTGTCCGCGCTCAGCTCAGGCAGCATCGGCAAATCCACCGCCGACTTCACCACCTCCGCGTTCACCTCATCGCCTCCATGACCATTATCCAAGATCTTCTTTTGAATCTGCTGCATGCCCTCCATGAGCTTCAGGATGAGGTTGAGGTGCGCATTTCCATCTTGAGGTTGATCTTCCCTGATCAGCTCCTCCGAAGACTCCGCCGCTTGCCCTTGACCTCGTTCTCCAGGTTTGCCTTCGCGATGTCCCTGATCAGGTACTCGTCCAACATCTCGCTTCTCCACCTCCATGTCCGGTGTCGCGTAGGTCTCCTCCGACTGGTTGCCCTTCCTGAGCTTGTCATTTTCCGCTCGAAGCCTCTGGATCTCCATCATGAGGTACTCCTGCATCCGATCGGGCCGTGGCACTGGTCGCGCGCCTTCAGCTTGTCCCGCCCGAAGTGCTCCGTCCTCAAGTTCCAGAAAGTCCGGCCTTCTCAGACTCGGCTCTGCGGCTTGCTTGCCACCCAGATTCACCAGTCCGCCCGGCCTATCCCACCTCTCCAGGTACTCCAGCTGCTCCGGCGTGAAGAGTGGCCCATAGATCACCGGGTCACCCTGCGGTCCTCCACCCCATTGCGGTTGTTTTGCAGGATCTTGACCTTCTCCGCCCCTCTGTTCGCCTGCTGCAGCCCACGGATTTCTCTGCGCTGATGCCGCCGCCGTAGACCACAATCTCCTCGGCATCATCGTGCCCTCCGATCCCTTCGCCGCCGGGGTTCTGCTCGCGTCCATGTTCTGCAGCACCGCCACCTCCTGGCCGATGAGCTCCAACCCGCGGGCATCCGCCGGCGATCCATTCGCAGGCCCAGACCGGCCTCTCTCTTCGCTTCGGGCTTCCTGCCCCTCCGCCTCCGTGGTCCCAGCGTCCTCCGCCTGGCCCACGTCCATCAGCGGCAGCGGCTCCGGTCCTTGCCCATCAGGAGTTCCCGGGCCACCTTCTCCTCGGCCTTTGCCATTGCGGCGCACAAAAACGGCTATCATGTGAAGATTCACGTTCAGCACTAAGAGTTGTGCATCTTCTCAAAGGTGATTAGTGGACACAATATCCGCCGTGTAAATGAGGTCCACCAAACGGTTTCTGATTGAAATTCACATTCATATGAGGAACCTTCAAAACCATGTTGGAAAGAAGCCAAAAGCCAATATTTTCTTGGGGCCCCGCAGCTGTCATGTGCCACGGTCCAAACATTTGTTTGTTTGGCGCTGAAGGATTCCGATGAAGCGAACAATGCACGGACAGGCTGTGGTGCTCAAGACACCACTAGCGACTATCCTGAAAACAATCCTTACATCCAGGGGATTGTCCGAATTATGGGATCCCAAGAGGCACAAACTGTCACCAGGGTGCCTTGGTTTTGACACCTCTATGTGGTTCATCTGAACAAACATCCACAGGAGATTCGGGATGTTTGTACTCAGGACCTTTGGACAACATGCGGCTTGCCATGAACATCGAGGAGTGCAGGGTGGAAGCTTCCTATGCCAGATGTGGGAACAAGGGTTCGCTTGTCAGGGAGAGAGAAATTAGGACCTTAATTGGTATCGAAGCGGGCAATTCTAGCAACCCTGAGCAAAAATAACAGCCCGTTGCATACAGCTGTCTTCTCGAGAAGCTTCAGGACAACATGGCGAGGATTTGCCAAAACTGCACCGGGTCATTTCGGTACCTGCCGCTTGCCGAAGGCCAAGTTCAAGCTTTTCCGGAGTGACCCAAAGGATCTGGGAAACTTTGCATTTTGCTTGGACGTTTGGACTTTAACTTTTTGCCAAGAGCAGAAAGCAACCAAGGAAACGTGGCATGGATTCCTTTGGTTTCCCACGTGCCATTGAGGGCCGTTGACAGACAAATCTCCGTTGAAATCATTTTGTTTGCTGTCCGGAATATTTGTTTTGCGAGTTTGAGCTTTCGGCAGATCAGCGCTCGCACAAGTCGAACCATCCCATTGTTGGTTTGCTGTTGCTTTCCTTGTAAGGCTGACCAAGCCATCCAACGGGCAATTCAGAAATTGCGACTCAAGCAACTACGATCTAGCAATGGGCCGATTCTTGAGCCATCCCCTGCCACAGAGCGCATTCACTGCACAGAAGCACCTTTGCCAAATGATCAAGGCCAATCACGACCGGATACAGACACACACACACACACACCCACGCACGCACGGCACGGCACGGCACAACACAACACAGCACAGCACAACACAACACAACACCACACACACACAACACGCAACACGCAACACACAACACACAACCCCCACACACACACACACACACACACACACACACACACACACACACACACACACACACACACACACACACACACACACACACACACACACACACACACACACACACACACACACACACACACACACACACAGGCACACACACACACAGACACACACGCACACGTTGCACTGAAGCATCCTTTGAGAAAAGCCCTTTTACAGGACACACCCTGCACTGCAGCTGTTTGCCAAACAGGAACACCTGCGGTTACCGAATCCTGTTTTTTAGTCCCCGAGGATGATCCAAAACGGAAATGCACTTGGTTGGGTGTCCGAGCGGCGCAGTGCTCAGGAAGTCTCATTTGAGCGCCAGCAACTCATCCTCGGGAGCAGACCCCACGCTCCTCGGCAGCCCTCCAGGGTCTGGTGTCGATCTGGATCAAGCTTAAATCTTAAGCCTAGCTTCGGATGTGAGGGTCGTTGGCTCGCGTATTCAACGCTCAGGGCGGAGCTGACGCGCGAGGTCGAGCAGCTCGCCCAAAAAGAGCCTGTTTGGAGCTCGAGAGCTCCACGGATCTCCACGCACGGGGGAAGGGATTGCTCGCTTTGCCTCAATTTCCACTTCTCTGAAGGATTGCTCGGCGCCTTCAGATTTTGAGATTGCAGGCTTGAGACAGTGAAGCAACTTGCCCGAACTGCAGGTTTTACCATCGGCTGCTTGGCTGAAAGCGTCGATTGGAGCGCGGGTCTCGTGAAAAGAACTGACTCTGAGCCAGGTTTTGGCGGGTGCTCAGCAAGAAGCACAAAGTGGACGGCGGGGATGTGACCCATTATCCGATCCGATACATTTGATCTGGCCGACTTGTCTCACTTTGGAGGGCAACCTGCGCAAGGATTTCAGCTTGTTATGGACTTCGAGTTTCAAGCCATTTCAAAGTATTTCAAAGTATTGAAGTGTTTTCGCTGCGCCCACGTTTGCTTGATCCGGTGGCCCTCCTATGTACACAGCGAAGCTGCAGCGGCTGCGCCTTCGGTTGGCCAATCCCAAATATTGGGAGAGTCCTCAAGTGAGTGCATTCTAAGGAAGTCAAAAAGGTGGCCAGATTCTTTGCACTGATTTTCTTTCCGTCCACAAAGTAAAGTGATCACGCCTGGCAAGAGCATACTTGCCGGATTTCAAAGCAGATTCCACGTGGCCGCTTGCCCCCTGAGATCTCATGGTTTCAGATATAAGACGTTGGGAGTTTGTCTTTTTGTTCAAGCCGTCCCTTTGTGGGGTATGTCAAAGGGAGAGAAAATGGAAACCGAAGCCATGTGTCAGGCGCTGCGTTTGGTCCTCCGCCGGGCACTTGGACCAAGTTGTGGTTTCTTACATCGGTACCACTATGGCTTTGCTCCATGTAATATGCCCAAGATGCTTCCTGGTATGCCCCCTGATATGGTACATTATTTGTTACAGGGTTCCCCGAATGCATCCTGGTATGGATCAAATCCTTCATCCCGTCAACCTTTGAATAGTGGATTCTTAAGTCCTCCTTTCCGGATATGTTGGATCCGCCACGGATTAACGTGTTCGGTTCGCCTGCCATGAGAGGAGCTGCAGAGTCTCAGCGTCGCCCATGGTTTGAGATTTGCTATTGGATTCTGACAAGACGGGTTGCTCGCAGACTGACCCGAGCTCGGTTTCAGGCTGAGGTGCTGAGGCCCTGTTCGGCTAGTTGGTTTCTTTTGCGGCACTGGCAAGCTGGCTGTTCCGCTTTGACGAGGCGTTCCAAAATGTGATCTGAGCTTGGATTGCCTGTTTGTTGCCGACGATACGGTCTTGCGGTGTGATTCATGCCTTGCTTTGAGCCTTGTGTGTAAAGCTGGCAGCTACCCCAAAAAATGGGTGACAAGTGCTCGCATTGCTTTGTTCTTCACTATTCACTGTTCCGGGCATGTGGGGTGACTTCAGGGAAACTCGCCGGCACGCCGAAGGATGGATGCCTCAATTTGACTTCCGCCGGTCTCTGAGTGGGCTGCAGCGACGCACTCCAAGGCAGTGGCACGGCGGCGGACGGCTACGAGCTAGGCCCTCGGAAATACCGGAATACTAGCTCCATGCTGAGGGGTTCTTTGGGGTGTTGTTTCCCTTTCAGCCACCATCTAGAGTTGGTACTGCTAAGAAGTCACTTTGAATGAATCCAGCAATAGATTATTCAGGGGGGCTGGGCCCGTAATTTTGGTTCTGCTTCTGGAGGGTGTTCAAGGTCAGCATGCAACAGGTTCCCTAAAACCGAAGCACACTTTGTCTGATATACTCCAAAAGGCTCGAGGATTTCAAGGGGAGTCGTCCAGGTTTGCTCAGCTTGGCATTTGCCAACCTGAAACCAATCTGAAACCCATCCGCTGTAAATCCCCCTTCAGACCATTCAGAGAGGGGCAGCCTCTTTGCCTGAGGCCGCTGTTGTTGGCTGAACGCATCGACGAGCGGGGCCTGGGGCCAGAAGAGGCAGCCGGAAGCGGCGCAAGTGGATCAAAATTGAGGGAAAGGCACACGGAGGATGGGACAAGAAAATACAGATTGGGTATGTGCCACACAGGAAATAGCAGAGAAGCCTGGGACAGTGCCAAGTTTACAAGCACCGCGCAGATGGTCGCATGCTCCATCTGTAAATCAGAGGGCTCGCCTGGCAGGTGTCCTTGGATTTGGCCGTGCTGCCGGATACGAGGCGGCTCTCCATGTCACCCGTTGCATGTTGGACAACGCATGACTTGTGACAATATCTTCTGTCTTTTGGTCGCGCATTCTGAGTGTTGCGATGGCCTTTCATTTGGTTGCCCCAGCCAGTCTGCTTTTGACGATCGCCCTGCAGGGCATCTCTCAGCCTCGGGACATCGACCAGCAGCACCGCAGGCCGTGCACTATGAGACCCATTGGTATACCTGCGGGTTTCCCAAGCTTCCCATGTCCCTTTGTTGCCTGGGGCTGAAGCGTGAGGTCAGGGCATTGGTTGTACCTTTGTTATCCGTTGACTTTGAGACTTGTTGGTAAAATATGCTTTTCCAGCCATTTGCAGGGTCGAGGATCACCCCAAGCGTGCCAAAAGTTGAGGCTCTAAACAGCAGGTTTCATGATGGTTGGCCTTTGACACCATTTTCAAGGGGGGGGCGCCTAGATTCGACACACCGCCATGTCAGTGAACCACGTTAGTCCGATGACTGGTTTCATCGCAGGAGCCGAGCCTGCGTCATCCAGGCGAGGTGTGCTGGTTCCTCCAAGTGAAAACGCATGGCCTGACTACGGGTCACGGGGTCGTCTGTGCATTCAATCCTGGTGTCGTCTGTGCATTCCATCCTGGGGTCGTTTTTGCATTCATTGTTTTTTGGGCTCACAGGCATGATAATGGACTCGATGTGTGGTCACATGTGTCGTGATAAGTGTGCATGCTTCTTGGAACGTGTTCTTTGTCGGCGGTTAGCCAGAGGTCCACCCAATGTTCAAATGTCGTTTTGAGGAGAAACAACATGTCCGTGGCTCAAATCAAGCCAATAACTTGCTGCCCTGTGGACCATATCTGAAGGAAATCTTCACACTTGAGCATGTGTGTTCTAATGGGATTCGGTGTGGTCAGTCAGTGGTGCCAGATGTCCCCTCCATCGACTTTACAGGTTCCAGAAGGAAATTATTCTGCCTGATGCCTTTAATGTTGACCCAGGGTTAATAAACCGACTGAGATGTGATGGGCGCAGCTCGGCGATAGCTCTGTCCATGGATCCTCCATCATGAAGCGACCTGCCGCCTTCAAGCGGCCATCCGCAGCCGCTGCGACGGTGAAGTCCACGGTGAAGTCCAAAAAAGACATCTACACGGTGAAGTCCACGGTCGCGCACGACGGCGACCCGTGGACGGAAAAGCAGGTGGGCAGCAAGATCTCCGCGTTTGCTTGTACAGAGGAGCAATACGTGCGTGTGTCCACGAGCAAGAGGAAGCGATCTAGTGGGACGATGGACTGGAAGTTTTGGTGTATGACGTGCAGTAAGTGCACGTGGTGCGGCTGGGCATCGTATTTCCCATCTCAGAGATCGCTTTCCATCAGGGCCACGCCCACATCTTGTCATACAGATTTCAGCAAGAGTTTTGGCAGCACTGGCGTGCATCTTGTTTTTTCCGCAGATGTTGTTTACACGCAGGGGTTCTGACGGTAAGAGTTAAGGCCGGCTTAGATCGAGGTTCGCGCTCAAATCGCTGGCCCTGTGCGCAGAAAGTTGTCTTCGCCGCGACTGACTCGCGCGAAATGGAGGCGCGGGCTGACGCGTGCGTCCCGTTATGGTGCCGTTCGCATTTTTTTTGCTGGCAGGAAACAGTTGGAAGGTTCGCGCTATGTTTTTTGAGGAAGCCTCGTGCCAAACGCTTTTTTTTTGAAGCAAAAATGCATTTTTTGCTGGCAGGGACGTGGGTACGCGCTGGTGCGTGTGAGGTTCGCGCTGTGTTTTTGATGAAGCCTCGCGCCAAAGGCGAAGCGCACTCCCGCAGCTCCGGCTACAAAATCACAAGTTTTAAGTACAAAAATAGTGCGCGAAGAGCTTTCAGAGAGCTCCGGCTGCAACGTCGCAAGTTTAAAGTACAAAAATAGTGCTCGAAGTCCATTCCTGCAGCTGCGGCTCTGGCTTGAAAATCGCATTTTTTTTTACGAAAAGTAGTCAAAGCACAGCGTTGCGCGCAAGAGAAGTTGACAGGATAGGTTGTTCGAAGCGCGATGCCAAGCTTGCTCATCAGAACTTGCAGAAGCTACGAAGGGACACTGATGTGTAGATTTACGCTTGCTTCTCATCTGCAGTGGGCGAGGTGTCAGGGTCTATTTAACGTCTTTCGACGCTTCCGGGCCACCCGTCGTCAAATTGAACCCAATACTAATTATTTGGGGTCTCTTGCCGGGATAATTTTAACATGAATGCAGTTTCGTGTGTTCCCATCGCCAGTTACTGCAGCTGCACTTTCGGGAGGTCGCCTTCCTTGCATATGTTTATCGTTTCAGCTAGTTGGTTCGCCATCCTCAGTGTGAATTATTGCCGAGGACGCGCTCGCAGAAAGAAGCGCACGGGCTGACTGTACCCACGAAGAAATTGATCCGCGAGTATCTCTTGGCAAAGCAGAGTTTCCGCATTGAGCAGCTTCTCCAGGCCAACCGCACCCATGTTTTTGTTTTATTGTGTTGCTCAAAGCCGTTTGCAGCGGTTTGGGAGTGTGTTTGGTTGTGACAGCCTAACATCAGCTGGGTAAGAAGTAAAGCTGTTACAGTTGCAGTTTGTCCGCCGCCGCTTGTTTGCAGGAGATTGCCAAAAAGCGGACTCAGCCCATAAAGTGATGCGAGCCAAGCCCAAGAGCCTAAATCCTAAAACCAAACCCAAAAGCCTAAACCCTACAGTAACCTAAAACCTAAAGTGATGCGAGCCAAGCCCAAAAGCCTAAATCCTAAAGCCAAACCCAAAACCCAAAACCTAGAGTGATGTGAGCCAAACCCAAAAGCCAAAACCTTAAACCCAAACCCAGAACCCTGAAACGTACAGTAACCTAAAACCTAAAGTCATGCAAGCCAAACCCAAGAGCCTAAACCCTAAGCCCAAATCCACAACCCTAAAGCCTACAGTAACCTAAAACCTAAAGTGATGCGAGCCAAGCCCAAAAGCCTAAATCCTAAAGCCAAACCCAAAAGCCTAAACCCTACAGTAACCTAAAACCTAAAGTGATGCGAGCCAAGCCCAAAAGCCTAAATCCTAAAGCCAAACCCAAAAGCCTAAACCCTACAGTAACCTAAAATCTAAAGTGATGCGAGCCAAGCCCAAAAGCCTAAATCCTAAAGCCAAACCCAAAAGCCTAAAACCTACAGTAACCTAAAACCTAGAGTGATGTGAGCCAAACCCAAAAGCCTAAACCTTAAAACCAAACCCAGAACCCTAAAACGTACGGTAACCTAAAACCTAAAGTGATGCAAGCCAAACCCAAGAGCCTAAACCCTAAACCCAAATCCACAACCCTAAAGCCTACAGTAACCTAAAACCTAAAGTGATGCGAGCCAAGCCCAAGAGCCTAAATCCTAAAACCAAACCCAAAAGCCTAAACCCTACAGTAACCTAAAACCTAAAGTGATGCGAGCCAAGCCCAAAAGCCTAAATCCTAAAGCCAAACCCAAAAGCCTAAACCCAAAACCCAAAACCTACAGTGATACGAGCCAAGACCAAAAGCCTAAATCCTAAAGCCAAACCCAAAAGCCTAAAACCTACAGTAACCTAAAACCTAGAGTGATGTGAGCCAAACCCAAAAGCCTAAACCTTAAACCCAAACCCAGAACCCTAAAACGTACAGTAACCTAAAACCTAAAGTGATGCAAGCCAAACCCAAGAGCCTAAACCCTAAGCCCAAATCCACAACCCTAAAGCCTACAGTAACCTAAAACCTAAAGTGATGCGAGCCAAGCCCAAAAGCCTAAATCCTAAAACCAAACCCAAAAGCCTAAACCCTACAGTAACCTAAAACCTAAAGTGATGCGAGCCAAGCCCAACAGCCTAAATCCTAAAGCCAAACCCAAAAGCCTAAACCCAAAACCCAAAACCTAGAGTGATGTGAGCCAAACCCAAAAGCCTAAACCTTAAAACCAAACCCAGAACCCTAAAACGTACGGTAACCTAAAACCTAAAGTGATGCAAGCCAAACCCAAGAGCCTAAACCCTAAACCCAAATCCACAACCCTAAAGCCTACAGTAACCTAAAACCTAAAGTGATGCGAGCCAAGCCCAAGAGCCTAAATCCTAAAACCAAACCCAAAAGCCTAAACCCTACAGTAACCTAAAACCTAAAGTGATGCGAGCCAAGCCCAAAAGCCTAAATCCTAAAGCCAAACCCAAAAGCCTAAACCCAAAACCCAAAACCTAGAGTGATGTGAGCCAAACCCAAAAGCCTAAACCTTAAACCCAAACCCAGAACCCTGAAACGTACAGTAACCTAAAACCTAAAGTCATGCAAGCCAAACCCAAGAGCCTAAACCCTAAGCCCAAATCCACAACCCTAAAGCCTACAGTAACCTAAAACCTAAAGTGATGCGAGCCAAGCCCAAAAGCCTAAATCCTAAAGCCAAACCCAAAAGCCTAAACCCTACAGTAACCTAAAACCTAAAGTGATGAGAGCCAAGCCCAAAAGCCTAAATCCTAAAGCCAAACCCAAAAGCCTAAACCCCAAACCCAAAAAACCTAAAGTGATGTAAGCCAACCCCAAACCCAAACCCCAGCCCCCAAACCCTCTGCTGTGGTGGGCACTTCCGGGATTGAATGCGCGAATGACTCCAAGATTGCGTGCGCAGATGACCCTGCGGGATTGAATGCGCGAATGACTCCAAGATTGAATGCGCGGATGACCCCACCACCCCGATTCTTTCAAGAGTTCAGTGCTTGTTGGCGAAAGAACATGGTGTGAAGGAGAGGGCAGTACTGGCTGACCCATGGATGTTGAGCTCAGCTTGGAGCCAAGGTCCATGGCACGGATCATGAAAGAACAATTGGAGCCACGTTGGTTTGACATTCGGGGCAATGACGGGGTTGCCCTTTGTCGGGCGGCTCGCGATGGTTCCACAAAGGACTCGCAGGGCAACCAGCTATGGAAAACTCCTTGGGCCGGTCAGGTTTCCCGCTGCCAGGTTTCCCTTGCTGTCCGCAATTTGTTGCGGGGAAATCAAAAGAAAGGTCCGGCCTCGATTCCGCTACACTGGAGTAGAGGGAGTGAGTTGTTTTTCTGTTCACCCCTTTTGCAGGAAAGTCACTGCCTCATTCCAGAGCGGATAGTTTTTCCCTTGAGGGCAATGGGTGAACTTTGCCCCATGCGGGTTTCTGGCGAGGTGCCGCCTGGCGCCTGCGGCGGCGCAGAAGCTGCTGGCGGGGCTTGAGGCTGCAGGAGGCGGGGCTGGCCCGATCTTGGCGCGGGTTGGTCCATTTTCTTGTTTGACGATCTTGGCGCATTGGGATCGTTGGCCATGGTCTTACTGGCTGGCTTATGTCATGGGGGAGTTGCCGATTCCATGTGAGTTGTCCTTTTAGGAAACCAACAAGCCTGCCCACGTCGCTGACCAATTCCAGCACTCACTGGCCTCTTCTTTTGTGAAGCATGTGGGAAGGGAGTTTTCCTTAGCCTGTACAGGGGCAGTTGCAGACTTCAGGTGGCCAACAGGAAAACGAGTCAAAGGAATCGGCCTCTCCAAAGTGAATTGAGGGCCGGGTGACGCTCCAGGCCCTGAGACGGAGGGCGCCTTGCACCAGCTTTGGCGTTGGGAGCTGGGCTCAGCGATGGAATTGGAACGAACTCGGTTGAAGTCATTTAGGCAACCGGAAAATCTGGGACTTGCCACTGTGAAGGTAGATGGCACAATCTCATGTGAGATAGCTGGGAATGAACAGTGAGTTGTGCCATCGGAATTTCCTGTAACCGTGAACGGTTGGTGGTTTGTATTATTGTTTTGGCTCCATGTCAGTTTCCAGCCCAAGACTTTTAAGCTAGCCGAGCGACGGCTATCCGGGCGGCATGGAGCTTGGCTTGGCTACCCGCAGCTAATTCAGTGCACAAGAAAATACTCTGCAATCACGAGAGCGATCACACTTTGCATCAAAGTGACCTTCGAATTTCAATCCAAACTCAGAAACGTTTGTTGCCACAAAGCAGATGCGACTCTGGGCAACCAGTGCCCTGTAGCCTCAGAACTTGCACTCTGGACCCTTGGACCCGGCCGACGGCTGGGAGTCATGGAATGCCAGAACCAGGAGTACCTGGCAGCCGCTTTGCGGCATTTGGCTGTAGTTGTGTTGGTTCCCCCCCCAACTGTGGAAGATCTGGAGCTGGGCAAGCAGAAGGAGTTGCAATTTCCCACTTGGCGAACCTTCCACCTTTGGCAGGCCATTTGGGCTTGTCTCTAACTGCGGGTGCCCCAGAAAAATGCGCTTCGGTTTCCTTTTGCTTTCCCTTTGACATAGCTCCCTAAAGGTTAGCCAGTTTTCGTGAATGGAAAACTTTGGCAGGTTTCACCACTGCGGGTGACGGATCCAGCCGATCGCACAACGCAAGGCTCGCTTTGTGGGGACGGCCCTGCACACGGCGCTGGTGGTGAACGTGCGGACCTAAACCAGGTTTCAACGAGGTCCCGTTCATTGCCGAAAGACAACCCTCCCCGTTTGACAAAACAAAGCCCTCCGGACAGCTATGCCGTTTCGAAACATTCCCCGACAGGCACCACAGTTTTCGGCCCAGAGCGGGGGGTCTTGAGAATCACTGGAACATGTGGGCTCATCGGAGCGACAGCATGAAATACTTTGACAATCCTATGCTCCTTTAGCCAGAAGCAAAGTAACATGCTATGTGAGCGCACTATACGTCGTGGTCGCGGTCGCGGTCGTGGTCGTGGTCGTGGTTGTCGTCGCCGTCTCCCGAGAGTGTACCAGTTGCACGTAGCCAACGGGACCATGTGTTCAAGTTGATGCCCGAATTGCACGCCCTCAGGGCTTGTTCAACGATTGAGTCGTCCCAAAAAGCACCCAAAGACGACCTCAGCAAGCTCCATGGATCCAACACATGGTGGCAGTATGGTTTATGCCGTGTGCCCCATCCTTGGGCACCAGACGGGTCCCGAGCACTTCTGAGGTGCTTAGCGCGGAGGGCGACCACGTGCTCTTCTCGCTGCCGGCCAATTGCCTGAGCCAGGCACTGCAGATGCCCCCGGCCTGCCGTAAGGCCACCGATCGGAGTTTCGAGCGTTTCGTGCTTCTCCTCAAACCCCAGATTGCTAAAATCAGAATGCAGCACTCCATTTTCGAAGCAAATGAGCAAGATTCAATAGCAATGAATGTCAGCCACAGTTTGTTCACCACACACCCTGCAACATCCCCTTCTTTACTTGAAGTTTGACCCCCTATGACTTTCAATATGGGAAAAGCGCAAAAGGCCGCCCCCCTCCAAAAATGATATTAGAGTGCTTTGTGCGTCTTTCTGTGTTCGTTTTTGAGGGTGCAATCTATGTCAGTTTTGGATTGCCCTGCCACTTTGAGACTGTTGAAACGGTGTCTCAGATGCGCAGTTGGAAAGCGAGGTGGGGCAAGTATACTGTTCCTCCAAACAAGATTCCTTCCCCTATCATTCCCAAAGCTTTTGAGGTTCCTCTTAATCTTCAGCGAATTCAACAACCCCCCCAAAACATACACCAGCCGGTATTTCCGTGCGGCAGGGCACCTGTGCCATGGCGGACGCACTCTCGGCATCTTGCCGCCAGACCTGGCAGGCGCGCCCCAGCGCCCCCCTGCCGCAGATTCCCATTCCAAGGGTTGATCGGTGCAATGAAAAATAAATAAACCCCTGCTTGCCTGACAGGTGCCACTTGGGCAGTGTCGCTCACTTGTTTTCTGGCAAAGTCATATTCATCAGCCAGGCTTTAAACATCCGGGCCGTAGGGCGGTGATTTGGGGATGGTTATCAGCCCTTTTGCGGGAAGAGGGGTTGTGTCTTGCAGGAGACGACCCCTCCAAAGCGCCTGAGGCGCCTCTAAGTTCTTTCTGCACAAGTCTCACCGAGCTTTTGCACACCCGAGGCGACAGCGTCGCTCCTGCACGGCGAGCTGTGCCTGGGTAGCAAGCCAAGTGTCCCTTACTTCTCCTTGTATTGGATTATCACCTATTCGTTGCCACTTTAACAAGGGAACCAGGGGGCGATTTAATCAGTACTAGTCAGGTACTAGTTGGCCCTTTTCTTGCCACCTTCATGGATGTGATGGCGTGATGCAGAGGGACTATGGCAAGGCTGCAAAACTTTGAACTGCGGCTTCTTCCTAAAATTGGAAAGCTCAATCCAAATTGTTGTTTCGAATCAAACAGAATCCGCGATCTGGGGACAGCCTTGTAAAGAACATGTTCTGGTACTCACACATCCGAACTAAGCCAAGGACACTAAAGGATATTTTAAACCACTCGTGAGCCTGGCGCAGGGGAAACCTCAAAGAAAGTGGGCGAAACAGTTGACATCCTGCTCAACGAGCTCAACCAAACCCAGATTAGTGACGGCAAAGGGGCATGTTGACCAAAGTGCAAGCTTGTGAGCGCTCAAATGCCGTCAATTCAAAGCCGTTTCTAGGATAGCTGCCTTGGTCTTCTTGGTCATCGAGTTGGTGTCCATGCTGTCGGCGGTGCATACGTTTCAGGCTGAGGCTCGAAGCCGGGACGGAAGCTCTTTTCCGACTGCGGCACTGAAGGCATCTTCAAAAATCAGAAGGAACTCCCTTGAAAGAGCTGTCTAAGCAGAATCTGCTTGGGAAGCGTTTGCAGTGAATCGGAGGGCCTGAACTTCCTGGGCGCCGTCCTGCACGGGGGAGGCGGGGACAAACGGCCGCTTTAGCTGCGCTTGCAGCTTTTTGGGGGGGAGCTGAAAAGAAAAGGGATTTGGAGACATGCAAGTTGGAGACATGCAAGTGGCGGAAACTGTAAAACGGATTGTTTCCCTTTGGCTTCCCTTTGAAAAACCCAAAGACAGACAAATAAAGAACGGTTGGCCAGAGAATCCTTGTGACCTTTTTTGGCATTGACAGTTGTCCCACCTGGCAAAGCGTACCTAACTTGTAGCAGGAGGTGGAAGACCTACCCAGTATCACCCAGAGTTGCGTCAATTGGTGTGATAAAGCTGCATGCTATCCTTAAAAGTGATCATTTGAATTGAGAATCAAAACTAAAAGAGGGTGTATGTTTGCTGGTACCTGCTGTTGCCCGAAGGAAAGAAGAGGAAAAAGCAAACATAAACTCCCCGCTTCACTCATGGCCACTTTGATCTGCTGCGTCTACGCGGGCAGGTGCGCTGGTGCTGCTTCTCTTTCTTCTGATGCAGACGCTTAACGACACATTGCCTCATGCTTGCGCTCCACGGAGTGCGACCAGCCAATCGAACCGACACATCATTGGGGTGTTCAGGGTTGTTGGTCCGCTCGTCATGCCTGTTTTGTCATCTTGAAAGCCCCAAACTGAGCCGGAACGCAAGCAGTTTAAATGAGGAACCCTAGCGACAACACTGGACCCCAAAACACTGGAAAGCCCCGCAACTAAAACCCGAAAGCTGAACCCTACACCTAAAAACCCCAAACCTAAAACCCCAAACAATACCCTCGGCCCGAAAACCCAAACCCAACCCAAACCCTAACCCAAACCCTAACCCCTAGTCTTGCGGAGGTCCTGTGCGCACATCTCGAAAACCAGAAAGCCAAGAAGGCAGCGCGAATCCCTGATCGTCGACCTGAAACCCAAACCGTAAATCAAAACCCAACCGCAATATCCGAAAACTCCAAGCCCAAGACCCGAAACGTAAGCACTACACCTCCAAACCTAAAACGCCTAAGCCGGAAAGCTCTAACTAAGTCCAAACTCAAAGAGAGGCGAAACCTCCTGCCCCCTCCCACCTGGTTTCAAGCCTCGATACCGTCCATAGATGATCCGTTTGCGTGGGGTACAGTTGCCCTCGATGATCCCTCATCCGAAAGAGACAGAGAGAGAGAGAGATAGAGACAAGTCATGAATTTCGGAGGCATGAGAGCGATGAGCCAGCCGCACACATTAAGGACGTCCTGCGCCTACTTTCACATCATCTTTGTGATGACAAATGTGCTGCCATTTCTTGGAAGCTTGCCTTGGAAGATGGAGAGAGTGGAGAGCACTACTCCAGAGATCGTTGGGCTGTTTGTTCACATCTCAGGGGTTGCTCGTTACTTTTCTACTGGCCATCTCAGGAAATGGTTCTGGGAAAGATCCAGTAAACCCTCCGCCGAAACACTACCTGTTGATCTTTCGTACTGCGCATGGCACGGTTCAAGAAAGTGTCGGTTCGGCAGCTGCTTCCTCGCCTCGGGTGAGGCGAGCTCAAGATTTGGACCGACGTGCTGCGCGGGGCGCGCCCAAAGCGCTTCCCGGCGCCGGAGATGGATTGAGTCGGTGAAAAAGGCATGGGCCAAGCTGCGGGGGGACTCTGCGTCCAAGTTGAAGACCGGCACCCGTATAGGTCTAGGTCATATCCACTTGAACGTTAGTGAACACACACCCATTCGCGGAGGGAGAGGTCCAATATGATTGGTTGCCTTGTATAATATTTTCTAAGACGGGCCGAAGCCGCAGCCAAAATCATGTTTGACCCAAAATTAGACCAGGCGTGACTCAAATTGCGGCTAGTTGGCCGTATCCGACTGGGGTGCCAACTTGGACTGGACGCCTTGCAATGCGAGGGGATACAACTGAAGTGTACCATCCTTGAGATGGACATCGCCACAGAGGGGGTTCGGCAAGCTACCTTCCGTGGGATTGTTTCTGCACGGTGTGTTAAACGCGATTGAGAAGTTGATGCGTTTCAGTTGCTTCCTGTTTGCTGAGCCAGCTGTTGGTGGAGTCGATGGTTTGTTCGGGCGAGCACTTTGCCAGGTCAACTGTGAGGTAAACAAGCTAGCCAGCGAGCATGCTGGCCTTTTGACTCGTCCCAAAACCCTAAGCCAACCCGAGCTGCAACAATCAAGAGCCAAGAAAGCAGAAGCCCAGTTCAGACTCACCCCTGAACCCAAGGCCAATCTGAAGCTGAGGTTCATGCCACCCAAATTCCAGGCTGATGTTGAACATGTTGGAAGCCATGTTCGGACCTTGCTGCTGCCGATGCGAAGAGGTGACATGAGCTTTATCGACATCCAAATGCCGTGCCACCTATGATCCTATTGGCGTGTGGTTTGACATTGTGCAGACAAAATACATGTACATTGAATACCCACATGTGCAGATATCAAGCCCTTTATTGTGTTTGGTGATTTGCGCGTTCAATGGGGATTGCAACAAGGTAAACATAAAGCAACCAGCTGCAAAACCATGCAAAGATGAGATCATTGTTGTGGTTGAGCACTGATCGCAGCTGGGGCTTCTCGATTTAAAAACGGGAGAAAGGAGAGTCTCCTGCGGAGAGCGTATGATTTGGAGGGCTTGTCTTCGACCCCCTGTCAGCATGCGAAGCAGGCTGGAGAGAAAAACCACTGATGATCGACTGATAAATGTACGACATTTCTTGCTGACCTTTGGTAGTTGCTACGTTGGTTTTTGTTCATTGTGCCGAGGCCGGTGCTGTTTCCATGGAATCCCTGCGGAGCACGACATTGCTCCGCCTGGCGGCAAAGTGCGCACTCGAAGCCATGGTTGTGCAAAAGTGGGCACCAAGCAGCTTGTTCGGGACCCCTAGAGGAACCGGAATAAGGTGCCTGGAACATAGTTTGAAGAGGTGGATGTTCGGCAACCCCACTCCAGGTCTAGAGGCCCTCGCCTGGTTCTTCTTTGGCAAAGCTGCGAGGTTGGTTTCGCTTGGCCTGCGGCTCACGAGGCCAAAATCCAACCATGCAGCATACTTGTAAACAATGTCCTGACAGGTACCCAAAGTGGTCATTCCATGTTACCCCGCTGGCGAGGCAGGATGTGACGGGTCCGCCCGGTTTGAGTGGGGCGCCATTTTGAGCGGCACCTCTTGGATTGGACGCTTTGAAAGTTCAAGCCAGCTACGCTGAACAGCAGGGGACCACCCTCAAGAGGAGTTATATGTCTGTTTTGGGTCCATAGTCCATACCTGCCGGCTTTTGCTGAATTGACACGTGTACCCACCGTGCAACCATGTATTGCAAGAGGATTACGGTTGCTTTGCTATTTTGATGCCAGGCCCTTGCGGACCTCGGACACTCCGCTCCTGCAGGCAGCTGTCGCAGTTCGCCTGATGCGACACGCGTTCATCAATTGCACTATAAATGAACGGCTCTAGCAGAAGCATCTCGTGTTAAGAACTCAGTGGGTCAGAAGCGGAACAAGCCATCCCAGGCGCTTCTCGCACCCGCTTCCAAGTCATTGGGCCCGGCCCCAAGAGGTGAGTCCGCCAATGCCCAGATGGGCAGAAACATGAAGATAGATCAAACCGAAACCCTTTGTGGGGGCGTTACAAGTCTTTGCAAGGAGGGCAAGAGGACACCAACCAATGATGGGAAGCGCACACCAAACAAACCCATATAGTTGTGACACACATGTCGTTCATGTCGTACCAGCCTCATCCCCAAAAAAGAAAACTCACATTATTGCTGTCTCCGGTGAGGTTGGATATGCCTTAAGCCTTGCCTGTAGCAGTAACTCTTTACCACCAATTTACCTCAAAGTTTCCCCCCCATTTCGTGGGTAATTTACCTCCATTTGTTGTGTAATTGACCCCCAATTTTGTGGGTAGTTTAGCCCCAATTTTGTTGGTTATGTACCCCCAATGTTGTCGGTAATGTACCTTCCAATTTGTGGGTAATTTACCCCCAACTTTGGGACTCGTTATTTACCCCCAATTTTGGAAATTGGGGGTAAATAACGAGTCCACAAATTGGGGGGTACATCTTCGTATACCGTTGGGAAACCTGGGATTTACCCCCAATTTTTGGACTCATTATTCACCCCCAATTTTCCAAAATTGGGGGTTAATAACGAGTCCCAAACTTGGGGGTAAATTACCCACAAATTGGGGGTAAATTACCCACAAACTGGGCGCTAAATTACCCACAAAATTGGGGGTAAATTACCCACAAGATTGGGGGTAAATTACCCACAAAATTGGGGGACAATTACCCCCAACATTTCTCCCAAATTACTCCCAATTTGCCAAGTGTCCTCCCAATATTTTCCCACGATATACACACAATGTCTCTTAGTTTGCTCACAATTTACCGCCAGTTTCGGGGTGAACGTTCCGCAAAATTAGGGTAAATGTTGCCGAGTCGGTAAAGCCTGTACAGCCCCTCCTCGCCCGCGTAAAGAAGGCATGCAATTTATTGATAGAGGCAAGCCTTAAGACATGCCGGCTTCAGCACTTTCGCCAGCTCGCCCGGAGGCTTCGGCTTTCTGACCTTGGACCAGGGCCGCTGTGTGGTATGCCTGCTAGCGGACGAGCGGCTAGCCTTCGAGGCGAGTC